ACACACACACACACACACACACACACACACACACACACACACAATAACACATACACACACACAAACAAATAAATACACGTACAGAGACACACACCCACGCTGCAAATTTCAATTACACGCTCAGTCACAATATGATGTACTAGCCCAGCCACCAGGATTAAAACTCTATCAGAAATGAAACTGCTACTTCGTGTAATAGGCTGGCGTTTAACAAACGAGATCGAAAACATAATTAACTGGTGCTGGTTATGTGTGGGAAGTTCGCAACAAAATTAATATCCCTTTTTCAGTGTGTGTTTCCAACTACATATCCGTAACCAAGTATGCTGAACACTCTTCATCTGACGTTGTTGCGGCAATGTTTCATACACACGACAAGAGTGAGTTGTTGTTTTTTCTTCTCCAAAACTTGTCTCGCTATATCGGTTTTAATAAATCCTTTCAATTTTAAGAGGGGAAAGGCTACAATAACTTCTTCGAAACGCAGTTTTCTAGAGCACAATAATTCTAAAGGAAACTTTCTTTCTTTTTTAAAAATTATTGAACTCATTATTATTGAATTTTTTAACAATAAAATGAAATATTATAGGACACTAGATGAATCAACAAAAATGTTTTTCTCTGTGTGTGGAGGTGGGGGGTGTTTGTTTGTTTGTTGTTGTTGTTGTTGGGTGGGGTTTTTTTTTGGGGGGGGGAGGGCGGGGGAGTTATGGTGAAAATGAAAAGAAAGCAGAGAAGAGTTGCTCATGCACTTTAACACGGTTCCTTTAACCGCTGTGTCTTATGTGATTTCAGGTCCTGGAAACAAAAACGTGAAATAGATGTGGTCATACGCAGTGTAATGGAAAGGGAAATAAATGGAGAAAAAAAATTGAGAGATGTATGAATTTCTCTTTGGGCAAATGACAAACAAAAAACAAAATAGGACAATAGCATGTGTATGCCATGACGACAACGATGATGATGATGATGATGATGATGATGATGATGATGATGATGATGGTGATGATGGTGATGATGGTGATGACGATGACGATGATGATGATGACATGAATGTACGCACTTTGGTTTCTACAGCTAGTGTAGTCATTTATATTCTGAATGTTCCCGATGAGGACCGTTGAGGGCGAAACGTTGAACTTGTCATTAAATATTTTGGAAATATTACAAAGTCTTAACCGTTTTACTATCTGCTGTATACAATGATGATGATGATGATGATGATGATGATGATGATGATGATGATGATGATGATGAAAGTGTTTTTACATTCCCATCGACAGAAATTAGATCCTATAGGAGGCGGGGTTCGACCCTGCCTGTCATGACCAACCCTGGCAAAGAGGGAGACAATGTCCCAGCGGAAAAACCGAGAAACTCGATTAAACTTCTCCGCTCACGGGAATCGAACTCTTGTCTTCAGTGTGCGACGACAAAGCACCTAACAGCTACACCACAGACGCCGGAATGATGATGATGATGATGATGATGATGAGGAGGAGGAGGAGGAGGAGGAG